AAAAACTGACATTAAAATACCAAGGTCGATCGTTAGCACCAGAGTCCGCCCGTGCACCTGGAAGATATTGATTTAGAGAATAAAAAATGCCCAAAAAAGAAGACAAAAAGGGCCGAACGCTTACCTATTTTTCGCATAATGTCACCCCGTTCAGCGAATACTGGGAATACTTTCGAATGAAACAACACTGTCCTTGCAATAACAAGTGCTTTGAGCTATGTATGAAAACTTCTCATTCTAATCCCATTCAGCAAAAGCATGTGTTAAAACCTCAAACGATGGGCTTGAAGGTTGTTGCCGTCGATGTAAGAACTTTATTACTAACTTCCTTTCAGCCAAATCATGCGACAGAGTGTCCAGCGGTAAAAAGAAAGAAAAATCTAAAAAGCACCGATGTAAGCAGTTTTTCACATCTATCTCTGTACAGCAAAGTCGCGAGGTAAATGTATTACTAGCGAAGAAGGTCAAACTAACGCCAACACGTTATGTGCTAATTCGGACATCTCAAGTTGTAACTACATGTTATTTTTTAAACCCCCTTTAAGCAAAGTCATGTTGCAAAGCTTTGGAAAAATGCAAGGAAAGCTGTCGTCCGTCGAAGAAGCACAGAGGTAAGGTTAATTCCTTCGAATATTTTTTTAAAGCAAAATCGAGCTGCAAGGCCTCCGAAAAAAAGGCGGATCCCCAGTGTTCCTCGGAAATACGCAAAGGTAAAACTAATTACTTTTCTGATTTGTTTTTAGAAAAGTCACACGGCAAGCACTCAGTCAGCTGCTGACACTAACGGATTATTATCAGAATCGCCCGATTGTACTACTGTTTGCAAGAGTATAAAATTTACTCCCGAAAAGTTCGGCATTTTGCCTTTCGACATTTGTTCGCAGCAGAATTTTTTAATTGAATCTACTTTTGTCTATCTGATGTGTCGGATCGGATCTCTGTGCAGGTAATAGAACAGAAATACTTCCTTTTGCATTCTCTTTGAGTCTTCGCACCCCCAGAATCTGTGTTCGTTGTGCATCTGGTGCCAAGTAGTTGGCCTGTTCGGCGTCTGTCAGATAATTGCTCTATTGCATCTGGTCACTCTTCTTTTACTAAGTAGAGCAATAACAATTTTCACCATGGCATCTATTGGTCGCATTCTAATTTTGTACGAATTTACCGCTGGTTAACTTGCCGCCCGTCACTGTTAGTACAATTAATCTGACGTCAATGTTCTGCCTTGTGACCATTTGTGGATTATCACAGTTATAATTGGCTCCCGTTATCTGTGCAGTTATTCTTTTTGCGTTTTATTCGCATGGTTTGAACTTGATGGTCAGAAATGATTGTTCATTCCTAAAGATTTCCTTAAATACAGTTTTTTTCGTGCGGTACTACGTGTAGTCGTTATATTTTCCGTCAGTCTTAAATAGTTTACCCCATGTCACTTTTTTGAAATAGGAATGGAAACATTTATATATTGCTTTTGGATTTAGCTGTTTAAAAGAATTTGATAAGACTTTGCGGTCAAAACTGCTGCTTAGGATATTCATGGTGAGCAAGAGATATTCAAAGCCATCAGAAATGGAAAAGCACTTTGAAACTAACTACAACGCTAGCTTGAGAGTCCTAATTGCCTGTTTTGAATCGCGAAAAGCGCGTTCTGATAGTAAAAGGAAACCTTTATTATGTCCGTTAATCGTAACTTATATCAACTTGAGTCAACGTTACGTGTTTTGCTCGGGCTTGCCTGAGGAAAGAAGCCCCTCTAATTGGATAAATCCTAACAAGTGTTTGTACTCTGAAGGCACAAAAACGCGAAGAGATGTTCTTAAGCACTTTATTTCCGTAGGTTAAAGTCATGCTTATGGTATTTAAACAATATGTAGCTTGATAAACTGCGGTTTATATAGACCATTTTCATGAAGGGGACGTCAAGACATAGATTTTACCATGTAAAAAACTCGATGTTACGGCTAGATTGCTGAATCTTTTGCTTTTGAGTCCTTACGGGTTTGCTCTGGAACTTTTTAGGCAGAGTTATGCTGACGAAGTCCGTATTTCCAAAACTTGCGAGGAGAACTCAAAATTCTTATAAAAATAGGTCTGTTAGCGATCATATTTATTCGCAAAAGAGCATTAATAATCGAATTCTGAGGTATTCTATGTAAAGGTTTGGGTACGGCTATAACCGTGTCTGAGCATGTGTCCCCAACACCAGATTCGTGAGTACCAGGGGTTCGAAGAGGAGTTGTTTTTATTAACAAACACTTGACTAACTAACAGAAGTTACTGGCTCGCCACTGTCTTTGTCGGGGCCACCTTATCTGCGTACAGAATTCTCATTATGCGCCCGTCTTCGAGGGCTCTAAGTTGAGCTTCAAAGCACAATGGAACGAGTATGTTCCGTGACCTGGTCGATGTGCGCACATTTGTCAAATATGGGTAAAGATTTGAGGTCCAGATATTGTGTAGCGCTCATCATCCCTTGAAGAAGACGAAGAAGAGAGGGTGAAATAATGGACAAAATTATATTTGAACTGACGTTTCGGAACCCCTCTCGTTTCTATCATCAGAGTAATGTATTGGCTGCTCCTGCTGGCCTTGATTGCTTCAGCCTTGATACGTGCCTGGTATTATATCTATGCTCGAGGCACGAAATATGACCTGACCGTTCATCCACAATTAGCGTTGACCTCCCCGCGATTGACCGCTGGTGGGCTCGTGTCTCTTTTGACCCCTTTGCGGCCGTCGTAGTTGTTGGCGAGCCAGCATGCTTGTCGGTCTCCCCCTTGTCACTCAACGGACTGATCAGTTGTTGGGGCTCATAGGAGTTGATCTCAGCCTCATGGGCGTCGCGGTGAGGTGGCGTCCCAGACTGGTCACATGACCCCCAGCCGGTTTCTCTCCTACTTTCCGCTGCCATCGGCTGTCGGCCACGCGTCACTTTGCTCGACTGTCCTGATGGCCTTGTCCGCACTGACTCGAGCCTTGTGCGTAGCGCCTGGTAGGCGGGATGCAGATCTGTGGCTCTTTTGAATGTGCCAGTCGAGGACCAACATTCGAGCACCGGTCTGACCCATTTTCTCATTGGTTTGGTCGATTATCCTTGCCTTCTCAAAGGCGAAATTGTGGTTCCTCTGTTTGACGTGGCCATAAACCATAGACAGCTTGTCCTTGCGGCCGATTGCAAGCTGGTGCTCATGCCATCTTGTGCAAATACTTTTTCCCGTTTTACCAGCATACCTCGCATCACAATTTTGGCGTGGTATACTGTAGACTACCGCTTATTGTTCTGTCACCGGTAGCGGGTCTTTGGGTCTCATTATTTGTTGGCTCTGGCTTATGAGCCACACCGATCCCGAAAGGACTCAGGATTCTTGCCGTCGCCTCTGACAGGTTTTTCACATAAGGGATTGCGAGCCAGAATTTCGGGGTTTCTCCGTCCGACCGCTCAGGATGGGGCTTCTTAAGACACTTGCGTATGAAGGACTTGGGATAACCGTTGGCTTTAAATAGGACGTGCAAGTACTTAATCTCCTCCTTCCTCCCACTGTCGTTGCTGCAGTGTGTTTGAACGCGTTGGAAGAGAGTCCACACATAACTGCGTTTGTGACCAACGGGGTGGTTGCTTCTGAAGTGGAGGATTCGCCTGGTGGTAATTGCCTTACGGTAGACCGTTATCTTTATCTTCCCGTCCTCCAGCTTTGTAACTTGTACTTAAAGGAAGGCCAGCTGATTGTTGAGCTCTTCTTCCATAGTAAACTGGATGTCGGGAAGGATTAAATTCAACAGTGCCTTGAAAGTCTGCACATCGCTCCCTTTGATGATGACGAAAGTTTCATCGACGTATCTGGCTCAGAATTTTGGGGAGTAAGAGCTGAAGACCAGCCGCTCGAGCCTCTGCAAAACCGCTTCGGCAATTAATCCAGACAAAGGCGAGCCCATCGGTGCCCCCCTCTTTTGCTCGTAAACTTGGCCGTTGAATGTAAAGAACGTCCTAAGACATAGTTCTAGGAGCTCGATCATGTGAACACGTTTGAGCTGTTGATCGGTCTCATCATACTTTTCCCGGACAAAACCGTAAATAGCGTCGATAGTCAGCGTGAGTGGGATGGGTATGAATGATGAGATCACGTCAAAGGACCCCATCATCTTATCTGCCTCTACTTTGAGACGTTTGATGCGCGACAAAAACTCTTCAGTCGATTTCACTGTCCACTCCCAGTCCTTGGTAAGGAAACAAAGTCGCGGGCACAGCCACTTTGACAACCCAAAGGCCGGGATACCACGTAAGGAGACGATGGGGCGTAGCGGCATCCCCGGCTTGTGGAACTTTGGTAGACCATAGAAGCACACCATTGCGATATCACTGGATTTTGTAGCAGACTTCAGGAAGAAATTGATCAGGGTACTGATACGAGACTGCCACGCTCGCATTTGCAAATACCGCCAGATGATTGAGCAGCATTTGTCAACTTGCCAGTCGATCTTTACGGCACACGAGCTGGGAATCCCCAAAGCGGCAATTCTCGACAGTGCACGCTGTCACCACAAGTTGCTTGATGACCTGTTGTCTGGAAAATTTGGGAAAATAAGTTCGCCAAAGCAGCCCCCCACTGACGGCGTTTTCTTCCACAACTTATCCCTCTAACGTTTCACTCAGAAACAACTAGCAGTTCTATCCTAGGACGCGATGTCCAGCACAAGAGACGCTCGACCATGCATGCTTTGAATCGGCGCTCCAGAAGTGTGAGGCAGGCGAGGAGTGCAAAAACGCCATGCGACAACAAGTGTCGACTTTACTCCTCCAGCATAAACGCCAGATGACGATTTCTAGGGCAGAAGATCGAGAACTTTTGAAAATACGAAAACTTGAGGATATCGTCACTCTACCCACCGCCAAGGGACGCTTGACTATCGTCAATTATAAGGCTGAGTACTGCACAAAACTAGGCAACCTCTTGATGGATAGGGAAGCTTATGAGCTATCGACTGTCAGCGAGTTCAAAAAGCTCGTAGACAACATCAACAAGACGATCGGCAAGCTGAAGAAGGCGGAAGCTCTTACAAGAAGGGATGCGCCGACCGCAAAAGCCAGTGATGTCGCAATGGCGCGCTTCTACGGTCTACCAAAGGTCCACAAGCCGGGGATGCCGCTACGCCCCATCGTCTCCTTACGTGGTATCCCAACCTTTGGGCTGTCAAAGTGGCTGCGCCCGCGACTTTGTTTCCTTGCCAAGGATTGGGAGTGGACAGTGAAGTCGGCTGAAGAGTTTTTGCCGTACATCAAACGTCTCGAAGTAGAGGCGGATGAGATGATGGTGTCTTTTGACGTGATCTCATCATTCACCCCCATCCCACCCACGCTGGCCATGGACGCTATTTACGGTTTTCTCCGGGAAATGTACAGTGAGTGACCGATCTCATGAAATGTTGGCTGAAATTCTGAAATGCGTTTTCGATTAGGAAGGATTACGTGGTCGCGGTTGTAATACTGAGTATCTTGCGGCATAATCTTATAACATTCCGCATTTGGCAGCATGTCAGCTTTTGGATAATTCTCTTTTCAATCTCCTGTATAAACCGTACTTGGTAAAAAAATGACTACTTATGTAGCATGTATTTTTCCCACTGATTTTCAATGGTCTTGCGAATTCAAATATATCTTTTAGAGAGCATAAAAATAGTTTTTCTGTCAATCATTTAATAGATGGTCACGCCTTCTTTATATTTTACACTTAAGAAAGTAGTATAATTAGGTTTTAAGAAATTTTTTAATTTCCGAATAATTTGGAACCCGATTATTCGCTGCATTAGCGCTTAGTGATTTCAGTCTACAAGGTGCATGCGCTCCGCGTAAAGAAAATAATATATTTTTCTATGCCATTAAAAAGATATCATACAGAGTCCACAAAATGTCGCAATGGATGCGGACTATGCTGTACATTTCATGAGAAGCTGTGGTAAACGGCCAGGTACGATGCTATGTGAGTGAACTTTGCTCTGTCTTAAAAAATCTCATAATTAGAAACTTTTTAAAAACCCAATTATACTACTTTCTTGAGTGTAAAATATAAAGAAGGCGTGATCATCTATTAAATGATTGACAGAAAAACTATTTTTTTATGCTCTCTAAAAGATATATTTGAATTCGCAAGACCATTGAAAATCAACGGGAAAAATGCATGCTACGTAAGTAGTCATTTTTTTTTTACCAAGTACGGTTTATACAGGAGATTGAAAAGAAATTTATTTAAAAGCTGACATGCTGCCAAATGCGAAATGTTATAAGATTATGCCGCAAGATACTCAGTATTACAACCGCAACCAAGTAATCCTTCCTAATCGAAAACGCCTTTCAGAATTTCAGCCAACATTTCATGAGATCGGTCACTCACTGTACATTTCCCGGAGAGAACCGTAAATAGTGTCGATAGTCAACGTGGGTGGGATAGGGGTGAATAAGGAGATCACGTCAAAAGACCCGACCATCTTATCTGCCCCTAATTCCAGACGTTTGATGCGCGACAAAAAACTCTTCAGCCGACTTCACTCGATATGACGGTTGATGCACTCGGATGAATCGTGCATCTACTGGCACATCGAGTTGGACGCCGCGTACAAAAGTCTCAAGGAGAAATGGAAGAGACGGGAGCCAGTCGGAACGGAATGACACAAATAGCGGCCGCTCACGGGCGCAAACGCGAACGATTATCGATTTTTTATGTACACTGCCAGATATTAACTGTTGCCGGCACATTTAATCTCAGTCCGCGACTGACGACGACCTGGGTAACCGGCTTCGAAAATTCATGGAATAAGTTACCTTTTCCCAAAGAACACCTCTGCCTTCAATATATATATATATATATATATAATGTTTGACGACGCTCATCGATCGTTCTTGCGGAATTAACTCGTTCCGGTTTGCCTTACAGGCACTCTCTCGAGTCCAACCAGCAGCCACACAGCGGCGCATGATATAGGCAGTAGGTTATTTTGCACAATGACGAGGAACTCTGTAATGATCCTTTCTGGTTTACTGGCCGTCGTCAGATAGTCATACGCAACCCCGAAATGTGAAAAATCCGAGGCACGAACTCGCGACGTGTTACTTAGAAGTCCACGCCTCTAATCACTGGGTCAGGAGCCTTTTGCCTTATCGGTTTCGATCTGGAATAAACAACGGTAGGGGGCGCTCGCCGATCGTTCTTACGGAAATCACTCGTTCCGTTGTGCCTCATCGAAACCGACAGGGCAACGGGCTCGTGGCCCAATGGTTAGAAGCGTGGACTTCTAACTAACAGGTCGCGAATTCGGGCCTCGGGTGTTCCACACTTCGGGGTTGGGCATGACTGGCTGACGACGGCTAATAAGCCAGAAATGGCCATTCCAGTCTCCCTTGTCTTTTTCGGTAATGACATTCTGCCTATGTATCATGCGCCGCTGTGCGGCAGCTGGTTGGGCTCGAGAGAGAGCCCTTAAGGCACAACGGAACGAGTGAGTTCCGTATGAACGATCGGTGAGCGCCCCCTACCATTTTATATTCCCGATCGAAAACCGACAGGGCAACGGGCTCGTTGCCCGGTGGGTAGAGGCGTGAACTTCTAAACCAACAGGTCGCGAGTTCGAGGCTTGCGTGTTCCACACTTCGGGCTTGGGTATGGCTGGCTGACGACGGCTAATAAGGCAGAAATGGCCATTCCAGTCTCCCTTGTCTTTGTCGGTAATGACATTCTGCCTATGTATCATGCGCCGCTGTGCGGCAGCTGGTTGGGCTCGAGAGAGAGCCCTTAAGGCACAACGGAACGAGCGAGTTCCGTATGAACGATCGGTGAGCGCCCTCTACCATTATAAATATGTATGTATAAATGTATTTACTCAGGAACGGGCACCCACCGATTCTTTGACCTCCCGAAGCAAACGAGCTTCGTGTGGCTGATGGGGGTCACTAACAGGCAACCATTTACTCAAGTCTGACGACGACCTGCGAACCGGCCTCGAAAATTTACTTACTAAAGTTTTCTACTTTTCCTAAAGAACGTATTTGCCTTCATATATATATAAGTTCTGAAGACAAATAAGCCCTTTGGGAGAATGAGCAAATTTTATTTCGCAAATTGTTGAAGCCCGTTTTCCAGTTTGTCGTCGGACATAAAGAAGGCGTGAAAGATAGTTGAACTCCGAAGCGAATATTCGAGTCCCACTTTCTTGTTGCAAAGAAGATGAACACGAGATCACTGGAGCATTAAGTGTATGAGTGTGAGCTTTCACGACTCAACTTCTCGATTACCATAGCGCTCCCCCGGGGCGCACAAACGCGGCTATGTTAGAGCACTCTTCCAAGGGGTAAAACGTATTGCAGCGAACCGGAGGGACGAGTACGAGAACTACGCCATCTTCAGGACCAATTGGCAAGGAATGGCTACCCAAACAGTTTTCTCTGCCGCTTCCTCCGCGGCGAACAAATGGAGAAGAGCTACCAACACTCTAGCACCACCTACGTATATAAAGAACGTGTCAGAGGCAACGGACCGTGTCGCTGCAGAGCTCGTCGCGGGTATAGTTCACCGTCCGAAACCTACCATGTGCACCAAAATCTTGCGGACGAAAAACAGAATAGACGCAGGAGGACAAACTGCTGTCCTTTGTCTGATCGCATGCGGTGACTGCCCTCACCACTATATAGGACAGGCCGGCCGACTCCTTAGCTCGCCAGTAGGGAAACACAAACGGACAGTTCGGAGGGACGACTCACTGTTTCAGGTCGCCATTCACACCCCGCGAGAAAGGCCACGAATTCAACTTTGCGAGAACGCGGATAATGGCGCGAGCCGACAATAAGACAGGGCGAGAACTGTCGGAGGCCTGGGCATCTGATACCAACTCCATCAGTAGACACATTGATCTACCCCCTGCTATCACGCGCTCCGTTCTCGCGACCAAGAGGCGAGACCCAACTGCAGCCCAAGAGTGCACGTAGTCATTCCGTCGTGAGGCGGCGTGGACTCAGTCTTACCACGAACACCACCCCCTCCATCCCTTTCGTCCGTTTCCTTGTTTGACTACAAAACTGCTCATTTGATGCCGCTTTTCCACAGTCTCTGACGATTGCCTCCTGAACGAGACCGGTACTGTCCCAGTGATCGCGCGTATATCTTATTTACGGTTAGAATCTAAATATACCCGAAAAATCTATATTTCTTTGTCAGTGCTTCGAATATGCTGTGGGTCGACATCAGGTTTTGAGTGGTTATCAGCTTTCCCGCTTTGTTGAAATTTGTGTACAGTCAGGAGAAGGAAGCATAGAATACTGCGGCCAATTCATTATGTGTAGGAAACCAGAAAACGTCAGGTATTGCTGTTCTACTATTTGGTTTAAGAGCCCCAAGCTTTATCAGATACTTTCTCACCACTAGTGTTTGTACACTGAAATTCCACTCTTTCCGACCTGGGTGTATCAAAATTATCCTGAAACAACCTACTCGCGAGTAAAGAGACGTCCACTAATCACGGGTATCAACTCAACCGGAAAAGGATAGTAATTTAGCTATTCTTTTGCAAACTAGTAAATCAGTCTCGTATTTAAAGTCATCGGCTGAATCCTAGTATTCGTCCGATGGGCGTTGCATCATTTTCTCGCATTCAGTCCCTTTGATCACTCCTTTTTTATATTGTCGTTATCAAATATTTGAAACAAACTAACATATAGGGTTTTGAATAAATGCCAGCTAAAAATATTCCCAGAAGACTAAATTTCGTTCGAAAAGGAAGACGAAATAATGCTTTAGTCTTAAAATTGTTCGAGAGTATTTCCGAGAGAAGCTAGGAAGACATTAATAGGCCCTTTTATTAATATTCACCACTTATTGCTTCCCCTAAAAACAGATTTAACATTTACAATGATAAGGTCCGGCCACTATTGGCACTCCTGGACGCATCTAAATGCCCACCATCTCATAGCTCATAGCTGGACGGAAATCTCTGCCATAAGGCTTAAAAGCCGACATTTGAATCCTATGAGCATTCGGTCGGGAAGTATGGTTGAACTGTCAGCTGACGCTAAGGAAATGAGAAACCAGCATTCGGCTGTACTAGAGGAACAACCCAAATGTGAACGTTCGCGCCTTCTGAAATACTGAAATTCACAACGCGTTCGATAACCATTAAACGGTGTAGAACTGTCAAGGCCATCTCAATGCGGCTGCATTATGTGTATGATATTGAGGTCAAGCCCTTCACGGTATTCAGCTAACATGTAAACAGATGCCTCATGGGGAGATGATTTGTTTCTTTTGTGTGCCATTCGAGAGCTATGGAAAAAAACTAAGTTGGTATACTCTTCTGAGACCGGTCGGATTTAGAAGGGGGATTAGCCGGGTGGTTCAAGAATGATGTTCCCATCCAGCCATTGTGT